CCCCCCCCCACACACACACCCACCCACACACACACGCGTTTATTTAGATTATCTTTTTGTATTTGACTGGACAATAGAGTGGGGTCATAGGGGAGTCTTTTTTTAACCCTGCACAACTTTTTGAGTTTTTGACACTTTTGTAATCGGGAAATAAAATAAACCATACTGCCCCCTAGTGCCTTGGAGGATGAAAAAAAAAAAAAGTTCGGCACCTGCTCAATGCCCAGGCACTTTTATGGTCAATGGCCACTCTTTACTAATATTTTCGATTGTGTAGTTATGGATGTGAATATATCAATACTGAAAGACAAAACATGAATCAATAATACACCAGGTTTGTGGCATAGCCCATTAAACCACTCATGGCTAGAAGTCCCTGCGAGCCTATTTGCTAAATAAATACTCTCCACAACCCACATGTTCTCTCAGACTTCAATTTGTGTCAATTGTGGGGAGTTGGGAAGGCTGAGTCACTCCCTAAAAAAAAAAAAAAAAAAAAAAAAAAGTGTTTGTCGTAACTGTCAGTCATTGAGCTGCTCCAATTCTGGCTGCGGCATTACCCCGCCGTCGCCAGGGAGACGGAGATATGAATAGCGAGCCACGGACACATGATAGGTTCACCGTAAGTGGACGGTGGGTAGTCGAGGCTTATATTGGGGCCGGCCAGTCTTCAAGGGGCTCCCCTTCAAACTCGTGCAAGAGAGACGGCTTTTAGGATTATAGGTGGAACCGGTTGTAAGTTTAAAAAAAAAAAAAAAAAGTTATTTTTGGGAGGTTTGACTGTGAACTTTGTTCATGCGTGTGTTGACACACTTTGTTTTTTCAATCAGGTTTCATCATATCTGATTGGGCGATTGTTTAACTTGTCAAAGAAGCGGTGGGACGAGTCAATAACTTGTTTCTATGTGCACTTGTTTTGGCTTTTAGGGGATCTACATCTCTCGCATTGCAGAGGGGGGAGCAGCCCACCGAGACAGCACGCTACGGATTGGCGACAGGGTCATCTCTGTGAGTGGTTTTCTTCCCACCCAAACGGGTTTTCATCCAACCAGGCCTTTTGTTACACTTTTAGCATCTATGGATGACAAGTGACTTCCTGTATTTATAGGCTAGGCTTTGACCTCAATAGCCCAACGCCGATCCAGACGAACTTTTGAGGGGCTTTACCGTAATTTGATTTCCAACTGGTTTTAACTAGTCTTATTGTTTAATTTGTTGTTGTTTTTTTTTTTAATTGTTTTTTTTTTTTTTTTTTTTTTTTTACTGTTGTGTTATCCATTCTACTTTTATTTTAAACTGCATAGCTTTTTTTGGGGGGGTTAAGGTTAGTCTATTTTAACCTGCACAACGTTTAAGATTTTATGGTGGTCTTATTTTAACTTGTCTAACTTTTAGAGGTGTTATAGTCGTCTTAAATTCTGTTTTATAGAAACCTTTGTAACTTGTCATGGGGTTTATGGGTGCCTTTTTTCTTTAAAAAAAAATTAAGTAATTAATTTATCAATGTATTTATTTATTTTTATTTATTGCAATTTTTATTTTGTATTTATTATTATTTTTTAGCCTGCCGCAAATGCGGGGTTCTGACGGCCGTTTTATTTTAACCCACATAGTTTCGGCATTTTTGACAGGAGCCGTTTAACATTTGGAGGTTTGTCGAAGTTTTATTTTGACCTGCGCAACTTAGTTTTGTCTATTTTTTATTTATTTTTTTTAACCTGAACTACACAGACAAATGGCACGCATTGTAACTTCATTTCGAGCACTTTTGTGAGTGAACGTCTGCAGAGTAGGCACTTTATCTTTTTTACTTCCTCCGGCGGTTTCTACTTTCATTCTTCCCTTTTCCACCCTTTTGCTTCATGCTCACTGTCGCGTTCCCTCCTTGCCTTTGCGTGTTCGGTGGTTGTGGGCGTGGTGTCGGCGCGTCAGCCGACGGTAAGCGGCGATACTGTTGGGCCAGCGCTGACCTCTGCTTGTCTGCTGAAAGCTGTATTTTCTCCAAATTTAACATACTTGAGCAAACTGGCACTTGCTTGCCTTTGTGGACTTAAAAGCGAATCTTTTGGAGTCGGCACACTCCCACTTGTGTTTTTAAGTCAATAAAGGCAAGCGGCAAAGAAGTAATTCGTAGTTGTGTGTGAGTTTTCTCAGTCAGGCTCCCGCTTGCTTGGCTGTCTACCTGCTTTTCTTTTGAGCCTTTATTTCTGAGAGCCGGCGTTGCATCAAAACCACACAAAATGTCAACACATTACCAATGCGTTTACATACCATAGTTCCTCAAATAACGCACTTTGTTGGATGAGACGCCGTAATTTACCTGCGTGGTGGTCTCACAAGGCTGTGGTAATTTTATTTACGATAACAATCGGCACTGCAGAGGTAGCAGTTTGGCATATAATGTACAATTCACCCAAACAGAGCCATGAAGCCTTGGTGTCCAAACTAGGGACCGGGGGCCATTGGCGGTCCACGACATGACCAAAAATAATCATAATAATAATACCGTACTATAAAATTATATTTGACATGGGCCGCACGGTTCGTCCAAAAAGGTGAAGGTGTGCAGAGTGAGAAGGGAGGGTGTCCGAAAAATAGGTGCCAGTACTACGAATACATTTCTTAATACTGTAGAACTTTTCTCTATATTTGAAGACACTAATAAACCATTTATGATTCAAAGAAGAACACAATTTATCTTCAAAACAGTGAATAGTGAAGAAAGATCCATTTTAGAGGCAAGAATAGTTTCTTCCACTTGGTGCTCGATGGCTGATTTATGAAGACATCACGTCAATGATCCTCAAATAGATGTTTGAAAAATGGTCACTTTACTCCACTTGGTTCTTTTTTTGGTTCTGAATGTGGAGACGGGGTTTCCTTGCTGATAAGTGCAGAGCTGATGAAATAAACTGGAAAATACAAATAATATATCATTGCTTTGTTCACTAACTTTAGCGCGTTTCAAAAGGCCACTCCTTGTAAAAGTTGACTGTCAAACCAAACATCAAACAAAGAGAATTCATTTGGAAAACAACCAGTCAGTATTGCCTTGAAAGGGTGCACTAGCTTAACACTGTCACACATAATGGAAAACGCCACCACACACCAGAAAGAGCAGCACAATGAATCGAAACCCAGCATTAAATCATGATATACCGTTGTACTGCTTAATTGTGTGAGCACTCTGGGTTTATAACGTACAAAATTAAAGACTGCTGTTTTTCCTAGTCAAAAAGAAAGAAAGAAACAAACAAACAAAACTCCGGTTGTTTTTCACTGTAAATCCAGATCAATGGTGTAGACATGACAGAGGCCAGACATGACCAGGCAGTAGCGCTCCTTACCGGCACCTCCCCCACCATCGCCCTCCTGGTGGAGCGAGACCCCAATGCCCCGCGCTCACCGGGCCAGTCCCGGCAGCGGGCCCACTCCCCACCGCCCCCGGAGCCCTCGGACTCTCCGGACCAAGACGAAGAGGGCCTGCAGGGGAACCACCTCGGTCGGTTGGAGGATGAGTACCCCATTGAGGTAATAAAGGCCGGCGCCATCTGGAAAGTAGATGACGGCCTAGTTGAAATACCGATTAGACAGTTAATAGGTTTTTCTATTTGGCTTTGACATGATACTTGCTGCTGTCCAGTTCGAAAGAGGATGGTGCATGGTATGAAAACAAATCGTTTGATGGATTGTGGAGTAAACTAGTGATTCCCAACCAGATTTTCCCAATTTTGTGTAATTGGTCCAAAAATTATTGAGTGTGTCTTTTGTTCAACTATGTATAGCGACAGTCGAACAAATTAAATGGTCTTCATAAGATCAGCAGAAAGTACATCATGTGTAGTTTTAAGGTACATAATTAACGTGCGCTTTTTGTATTTGAGTGTATTTTGTATTTTTTTTTTCCTAATGTAAAATATTAGTGTCAAATGGAAACCCTGTATGTCCTAATATGGTCAATGTAAATGACGGAACATGATTTCGGGTTTTTTTGCTGATATTCGTGAGCCACGGTGTGTGATAGCAATCTCAGGTGTAATATCAACTCGAACAACACAGTGTTTTAGAAATTCAAATTGGCTTTTTTTTTTTTTTAACTGAAAATCCGGATTCTGCCTGACAGTGACAAAATATGCTTTGTCATTACGAAGGTTGGGAAACACTGGAGTAAACATCGAAATAAATATGACAGCATAATAACTAGAAACCTCTAAAGCAGGGTACACACATACCAATATTTAACATCTTAGTTGATTTTTAAAAAATGTGTGAGACCACAGGCTGTGTGCTTTACTTTTCCACATCCATAACAATGCCTGACAAAAGACCAACACTGACCTATGAGAGCCAGCACTGGACCACAAGGCAAGAAAAAGAGGGAGTATTAATAGAAGAAAGCATAAAAGATGCTAGGCTAACTGTTAGCTTATCTGCTAACTTCATTGCTGTCACTCGCGCCGTTATTTGGTATTTGTGTACCCTACTTTAAATATTGAACAAGGTTATTATTTATAATTGGCGGTCCGGACAATTTTCCAAGTGAATCGGGGGAGAATTTAAAAAAAAAAAGGAGTATAGCCTTTGCTGACTTTGACTGCAAGGGTGGGCAAATGCTCAAATCTGGCCCGATTGTAAGTATGTGTGTACCCCGCTTTAGCATAAACAATAGAAACAACACAAAATAGAACCCTTTAAGTCCTCTAGTAAACATGTACTTTGTCATGCTTTTATGGTGATTAAAATGATGTGATTTGACAGGAAGTGACGCTGGTCAAGTCAGGCGGTCCTCTCGGCCTGAGCATCGTCGGGGGCAGCGACCACGCCAGCCACCCGTTCGGCATCAACGAACCCGGGGTGTTCATCTCAAAGGTAAACCTTTTTTTTTTTCCATCCGCAGTTCCAAATATCACGGAGCGCCGAAAGGCTCCAAATTGCCCTTAGATGCGAATGCTAGCGTGGATGGCTGGTTGTCGCCCGAATGAGGACAAGCAGTTTCGAAAAGATAAGATAAGATAAGATAAGAAAACCTTTATTAGTCTCGCAATGGAGAAATTCCCAATTCACAGCAGCAAAGTTATGAAAGGAAGAAGTAGAACAACAAAATATAGGAGCTGCTGGAAAGGCAGCCACTCACGCGGCGCCATCTTGAAGTCAAAATAACAAAAATAACACAACACAACACATAGGACACAGACAGTCGTGCAATCTTCACCACTTTCCTGCATACACTTTGTTGTCTGAAGCAGTTATAGATGAAAGA